TGGCGGGCAGGCCCGGGTCCCGCCGCGTCTCTGCCCCGCCCTTCTCACCAGTCCCTGCTCCTGCTTGCTGCTCATTAAATCCCCTCCCACGCTGGGCCTGCCTCTCTTCAGTAGCTGCAAAGATCTTAGCTCGTGTCTCGTTGCTCAGAAGTTGTCCCCCTACCCCCCCTTTTATCGCAGGCTTTCCTGGAGCTCTTCTTAAGGTTGTTGTACGGGTCTCATTCTGCCACGTAGTTCATAACTGGTAGCTGCTGTGGGAACAGGCAGGGTAGATGAATGACGTGGTTGAATAGCCACAATTATTCTCCCATCTGCAAATCCTCGGAGTCGAAATTTAGCCCAAACAGGATGTGACTCTCGTTCAATTCCCGCTTAAAAAAAAGGAGAAAAAAAAAAGTGTTTTCTTTAATTGCTCATTTACCGAAGGATTTAATCAGTAACAGAATGAAGTAATATTGCCATCTTTGAAATATAGTTATTTGTTATCTCTTGGTACTAGTCTTGAGGGTTTTTTTTTAAACAGATTCTGCTGTTTCATACTTGTGCAGTAAGACAAGGGGAAATACAGCTGTTCCTCATTCTTACAGATTTTAGTTGATTTGGAGGAAGCCTCAGTTATTATTAGAGCATATACTCATATTTGTAAAGACACTGAAGGTAACTTGCAGGACCTGGCATACTAAACTAGAAAAAGTAGCTGCATCAGTGCTGGCTGAGCTGGCTCATTGGAAGTTACAGAAAATGCATGTTCAGATAGAAATAATCACATTTTGCACCTGCATTATCTTAAGGAAGGCAGTTGGTATTTCTCAGGTTTGCAAGTCACATCTTTTGGTTTGAAGAGCTCAAAATAGGTGATACGGTTAAAAATTAAATGCTTATCCATGGTAGCTGGAAGCTTAATGTCAGAATGCAAACATTTCATTAAAGTTCTGCATTGTCTATCCAGCATTTTTCCTGTTTCCACAGCAAGCTTATTGTAGAAGATTCATTATGCTAACAATAGATCTTAAACCAAAGATTAATTTCTTTAGTGCTGGGCTGCTCTGTCATTTAACTCTGATTTAGTTGTGCCTGAGTTGTAATGGGCACATGAAATAAATACGTTTTTCTTGCATAGATGTGGAAGAAAATTTTAGGCATCAAGTTTTATCAGAACATGAGGGTGGAGAAGTCACTCCTGCCCTTGCTCTTTGCCTAATTACAAGCCAAGGAGAAAGATGTATTTTGTGTGTGTATTTTGTGCATACTCCTTGTTCATAAATCACACATATGTGAGGGTTTGCCCCTCTGGAGAATGATCATGCTGGTTCTGACCCCTAAAAATAGGGACATTTGACTCCTTTAAGGTGTTACAGTTGAGTTGTTTCTGCAATAAACTTTCCTGCCTCTGAGTTTTCATCTTACTGTGTTTTCCCAATTATACAGCATCTCGGAAAGAAAATTCTTGGAATAGCAAGTTTTTACATTCTTGTAATTTACCTTGGGGCCATGTTTTATCCCTTGATTAAAACCTAATAGCATAAAATTTATTAAAAAGTAGGTGATGAAGAATAAAAATGTGAGGTCTTTCACATTTGTCTTTGCAGTCTTGTGGGCAAGTCAGAGAATCAAAACAATGAGGTTGCTTGGAAGTTAAGGAATCATGAGGGAGCTAGAATACTTTGGGGAGGTAGCTCAGCAGCATCACCTGTGGCTTTGCCACAATTTGTATTATTTATTTTTGTAAGCTGAAGTACTCTCACTTCCTATAGTTTCAGTGAGGTTCCAGTTAATATGACTGAAATATTCGGGAACTGAGAGATGTTCTCTAATCACAAGATGTTTAAAATTGGACATCAGGGAAAAAAATAAACCAGAACCAATTCTCAAAGGAAATGGCCCTTCAAGAAAACGACCCTCAAACTCACCTAACTATCAAGTTGTAATAATACTTGAAAACACGCTTCAAGTTTGGTGTTAACATCTTTTTATATAGTATTTCCTAATACTAGAAATGTAATAGTTTTTAAGTCAGATTCCAGTGAAAATTTTACTTGGCTATAATGACTTGCTAGAAGTTGGGAAAACTGCTGTGAGTTTGGTCTTTTCTGATACATGAAAAGTTTGGTTCTTTCCCAGTGTAATTCTTGGGTAATACAAGAACCCAAATTGTCTATTTTGTTGGTGTATTTTGTGATATGGCTGTTGGCAATATACTTGGAAAAAAGAGAAAAGGGTGTTATAGACTGTGCTGCAATTCTGTGATGAAGATACTGTTTTGGAGTTCTGCGTCTGTGTACTTGGACAAAATGAGTCACTTCTCAGGATCCAGTATTTAGTGCCACATCCCTGCTGTGTTAGGGTGCAATCATTCCCAATTCAAGCCTCCCTTTAGTTTCCCAGACACAGTCTTCTGCCCATCAGTGGATGTTCTGACCTGTGTTGAGGACTGCCTATGTATCCTGTTCACAGAGCAGGAAACTCCTCAGTGAACATTTTTCTTACTGCCACGTGCATCCACGAGTGCTCTTGAGGAGGTATAACTTAAAATGGCAGGTGGTAGTGATTTCATACCTGGGAGATTGCTTTGTCTCTAATGGAGTAAGATTAGGAGTTGTATTATTCTAAATATAACATTATTTAAAGATGACAAATCAATTCATTTGGAAAAGGTGCAAATGTTTGTTTCCATAGTCTGAGTTATCATAAGCTGGGGATGAAATCTGCTCCATTCACACCTGCCCAAACCAGGATAACCCACAAATGGCTTGGTAGTGAATGAAGGGTCAATTCAAGGAGAGGGTGAAAGCAAGCTGAAGAACATGACGTAATCACTTCTGTCCTGTGGCTGTCCTTTCTAACTGGTGCACAGCAGGAAAAAGTCACAGCCTTTGTGGAGATACATGGATGCAGTGTCTGATGAAATAATTTTAAAGCTCTCTATGTTCTTGAGCTGTCCAAATCCTCTATTTTTCAGTGTTGTTTTTCACAGCAAGAAATTTATAGTGGCATTGTGTTGGTTTTAGTATCTTCTTGCTGACTATGCAGAAGCTCCAAGTGTGTGGATTACAGGGAAGGAAGTGAAGTATCTTACTAGAAGGGAGCATTTTCCTTTAGAAATGGAGAAATTCTTCTAGCTCCTGCTCTTGGTTGTGGAGGGAGATCTGAAAAGATCAGCTGCTCTTGTCTTCTGATTGTTTGTTCTCAAAACAGGCTGGGAAACAACATGTTGTGTAAATAGTTCCAACCTTGCATCATGGCCAGAGACAGACATCCCTGGTTGCTGCATCATACTTAGGGCTTATACTTTTGTCAGCTGTAAATTGTTTTAGAAATAATACAACTAGTACTGTGCCTTTAGCTGTAGGTGCTGCCTAACCAGAATCTCTTACTGATGCTAACTAGTCATTGTGTTCTTGTATTCCTTTTACATGCACAGATATTCCTTTTACATGGACAGATTGTTCCTTTCTCGGCAGGAATCAAGTATTTCTCAGTCTGTCAGATTTTCATGCATAGATATTCTGGATTGAATTTTCACTTGAAAAGTCTTCATTAAATTTGAAAAGGATAAACAGAAATAAATGTAAGCTGCAAATAGCCTTTCAGGTAGTTGTGAGAGGAAATAAACTGGAGTAAGTGTTGTAGTTTAAAAATGCTTTTAGTATGTTGAGCAGACAAATATTTTGTCTTCATTGCAACTGTGATAATCTCGTCAGAATCCTAAAAACAGTTAGGAGACACTTTTTTCCTTGCCTTTAATACAGCATTGAAGTAGAAGAAAAAAAATTGCATTGCTCTTTACAGTTTATCTCCTCTCTTTTTTGCCTGCCATTCCTATAGGTGAAGTAACAATGGATGCAATATTATCCCGACTGAAGCAGCTCAGCCCTGATGAGCTTAGAGAAGAAATTATAAGAGCAGGCCTGAAATGTGGGCCCATTACCTCAACAACTAGGTTTATTTTTGAAAAAAAACTGGCTCAAGCATTGTTGGAGCAGCATGGAGCACTGGGGGAGAAAGGATCTGCTCTATCAGAGGAGGCTGCTGGAAATGTCCCATCCAATGGTGGCCGGGCAAGAGCACTGAAGACTTTGAATCACAATGGTCATGAAAGTGTTTCTGAGGAGGCAGATTTTGGGTACTGTGTGGGTGTGAACCCTCCAGAAGAAGATGCTGTGATGCACATGAACTGCTCGGCTCCAGTTTGTGGAGCAGGATGTGTGGATCCACAAAGTAGTACTCAGACACCGTCCAGAGATCCGCCGCTGTTCTATGGCGTGTGTCCAGTTTATGATGACATATTGGCAAGGAATGGTAAATATTCATTTCCTTTATTTCTGTGATAAGCATTTTGCAATCATGCCCAAATAGGCCTTTTTCTGTATAGCGGGTGATGGGGACACCACTGTGTTGGTATTTTAAGCGTTGCTTGAAGTATTTTTTTTTGTTTCTGTAAATAGTATTTATTGCAATTTCTGAGGCATGGAAACACAGTTCTGAGGCATCCCAGCTGTTCTGCCTAAATAGTTGATAAACAAGGGCTCTCTACTAGATATGGCTCAGATGAAAATTATTTCCTGCTACTACTCTCAAACCCATCCTGTGTCTTTAATCCCTTTCAAGAATAAAAAGTAATTCTACCACTAAACAATCAAAGAGATGTCTATTCTGTCATCAGTTTAAGCTTAACTGATCTCTTCTAAGAGGTCTCCTATTTTCCTTTCCATCTTAATGCTAAATGGTATCTAGAAGCCTCAGTCAGCCTTCACATATTATTGGTGAATACTGCAATAAAGAATTACTTAATTGCCTAGTAGCAGGATTACACTGGTGCATAAAATACCACTTACTCTGAGACAGTAGTAAGTATTCTTTCTCATTAAAAATATAGTTAGATATCTTAATTTGAATAAATTAATATTACTGCAAAAGGGGAGGAAGGATTTGATTAATATTTAAGGTTCTGCAGAGAGGTCTCAAAGTTGTGGCAATAGATCACTTATTTAGTTGATCTTCCTGAACAGAGAATGTGGAAAGCAATGCAGGGTGAATGAATCTCCTGAGTTTGCTTTTCAGTCTTGATGTGAAACACTTGCTTGTTGAAGCTGGCCCATCTGTTAAAAAGATGCTTAGCTCTTGATAGGATTGGCCAAACACTGTATCACCTGATGTGAGCCGGAGCGTGTAAAATTCTTGTACTCAGTTTCTAAGAGAGAAGGTTTAAAAGGACTTTGATTCTTACCCCGTGTCTGGTAGAGAAACAGTTTGAGACCAAAGCTGGAAGGCTAGCCTGAGCATTTTGTAATCTGTTTCTGGGAACAAATCTGAGATTCTTGAAATAACTTAACTTTGTACTTTGTTGCAGAGAAAATACATGTTTATGAAGATAAAAAGGAAGCTCTCCAAGCTGTTAAGATGATCAAGGGTTCCCGTTTTAAAGCTTTTTCAAACAGAGAGGATGCTGAGAAATTTGCTAAAGGAATCTGTGACTATTTCCCATCTCCAAGCAAGTCCTCTCTATGTTTGTCTCCAGTGAAAATGGGAGCATTTAACAGAGGTAAGTGAGGACGTTCATCTCTGTACAGTAGATGCAATATGCAGTCTTTTAATTTTTTATGAGAGAAGAAGCAACAACTTCAACATACTAATCACAAAAAAACTCAAAGGGTGAAACATCTTAACAAACTGAAGACTCTTTAGAGTGACGGTGTTTAAGATAAGTTGTAAATAAATGTTAGATCCCAGCTCCAGAGCTTACAAATGAGATCATTGTGTAAGTAGATACCACAAGCAATATTTAATTACATCTTTTCTGTGAAATAAATTTAAAACAGGCAATACAATAAAAAGCATATTTTAATTTCTTAATTAAAATCTGGTTCTACTTTTGTATAAAACAATACTGTCATGGGAGAAGTCATCCTTAGAGTTAATTTATGCTTTACAGAAAAAGAACTGCCTATCTTATGTGGAGAAATAAAAAAAAAGTAGAGTATGATGGAATCCTGCCATTCTTTAGTAAGGAACTCCCACAGAAGTTAGAGCCCCAGGAATCTATGGAAAGTCTGCTTTTTGTGTTTTCAAGGTTAAGGTTTGGCCTTCACTGTATGGTTTCAATGGTCCCTGTTATGATAAAGTAAACTGATTACTTTTTTAAGCAGTTGTTGTTCTGGTCCATGTCAATTTTACACTAAAAATGTAGCTAGTCTTCAAAAGCTGAAATGCTGGTAATGACTTGCATAGATATGTTGCTTAGCAGTCTGTGTTGATGCTTGGTAGGATTTGATGTTACTCAAGCACTTCAGGATTTTCAGGTTTAGTAAGATGCCAATAAAATTGCACAGTGTGTTTAAATTGTACTTCACTGTTAAGTAGGGTTGTAGGTTCAGAAATAAAATGGGAAACAGTGATCTTACTCCATATTGTTCCCAGTTGCTAGATTAGGGACTCAGTAGTTATGTAACTGTAAAAGCAATTTTAATAGTCAGAAAATTCTTATTTCTTGTTGAATTTTGCTTTCAAATGTGGATGGAAGCACATTGGTAAAATTTACCAGTTCCTATGAAAGTGTGAAGCAGTTTTACATGATTGAGTTGTGTTTTCCTCCCTCCTTGTTACTAACTACTAGTGTTTATATATGTCATTGATGTCGATTTCTTTACTCCTCTACATTAAAGATATAAAGTTAATACTTATGTTAGATTAAAACTTTCTTTTCATGATCTGGGTATGAAAACAGGAATCTCTGAAAAGAATGCATCTAGAAACATGTTACTTGTGTTTTGGTAGATGGCTTGTGCTCTCCTGAGACTGAAACTGCTAATAAGGAGAGAGCCAACAGTTACAAAAGTCCACGTACTCAGGATCTTACTGCTAAACTTCGGAAAGCTGTTGAGAAAGGAGACATAGCAACATTTTCAGAACTTATTTGGAGCAACCCTCGCTATCTGATTGGGTCGGGAGACAATCCAACAGTTGTACAGGTGAAAAAAAAACAAATAGAAAAAGTCGAGTTCTGCTGTAGTGGTTTGGCTTTGAGACCTGATAAGGAAAATTGGAAGAAAATATTGTTTCCTGCTCTTCAAGGTATTTTGTTTCCAGCAGTGCCAGGTTTCTCAGTGTTCATTCATTGGAGCTGAAAGCTAAAAGAAACATGGCAGTTCTCTTGTCTTTGCATAAGGCACCCTCATAACTGAGAGTTCACTTTGCTCCAGAAGAGCTGCAGGAAAGAAACTGAGTTTGCAGTTTATCAGGGGAAGAGTAGTTTTATCCAGTAGTGAAAGAACAGTCTTGTCTTCATACAGTATTTGTCTCCTCCAAACAATTCCAGTCTTTTTAAAATAGAATGGTTTTTAGGAAAAGGGCAGTGCCTTGGCTGTACCTAGGTGTTCCTACAGCACTGCTTGCCTGGGCAACACCAGGAAATCTAGATCTGAATGTAAGTGATGTTGTTAATTGTAAGAATAATGTGGTTATAAAGATGCACAGATCTTTCTAATATAATTTACCACACTTGTGAATGTTAATGTACTGTTTTGTAAACAGTTTTTCCTTCTAAAATACTAAGAAACAAAAACCTAAATATAAGACTCTGAGTGGGAATGTTTGTATTTTCACAGTTAAATCAGTAAATATATGGGTGTAAGAAAGCTGTTTAGATTTCTGTTTGTTCTCACGTTTGTCTGTTGTTCTTTTTCAGGAAGGGTGTAGGTACAATGTCATGCATGTAGCTGCCAAGGAGAACCAACCTGGTATCTGCCAGTTATTACTGGACACTTTGGAAAATCCTGAATTTATGCGGCTTATGTACCCGGATGATAATGATGTGATGTTGAAGAATCGTATCCAATACATTGTTGACCTTTACCTTAACACACCAGATAAAGCTGTAAGATTTTAATGTTTCTTGGCTGGGGTTAAACCACAACAGTTTGGTAGTTTCTTATTATTCTGGAAAGAACTGGAAGGTGGTAAGGATATGTAAGGAAGAAGGAAAGAGAATAGAGCTATTAGTGGATTTTGTGGGATTTAATAATCACTGTTCTACAGTACGGTGGGAAAAGATCTATTCAGAGCCCTGATAAGTAGTCATGACTTTTATTTACTTTTCCCAGTCTCAAAATAAAAGTCAGTGGGTTGACTTTATCACGTTTCCAAATGACAGAATCACAATGCCGCTTATTTTTCCCTTTTTCTCTCTTCAGGGATTTGATACTCCTTTGCATTTTGCCTGCAAGTTTGGGAATTTGGAAGTTGTTAATGTGCTTACCTCACACCCAGCTATTGTAAAAAATCCAAGAAACAAATATGATCAAACTCCAGCAGAAGTAAGTCTCTCCATGTCCACAACTAAACCAAAAGTATTTTGCCTAATCAGTATTTTTCAAATTCTAACAGTTACTAACCACTGCAGGTAGAAAGCTTGCAGTAAAGTACTAGTGTCATGATTAGAGTGTAAGTCTTGGATAACAGGAAAAATATTTTATGTTGATTGTACCTAGGAAAATGTTCTAGATTTGATGATTCACTGCCTTTTCTTTAAGAGTATTTTCTATATATCTCTATAGAGAATATGTCTATATATCTGTACAGCATTTTATGGCTGTGGGTGTGTTTTAGTGATTTGTTCTGCTATGAAGTAAAAGTACTGGATTGATGTGTAGAAGCCAATAATGTGACTGTTCAGTTGATTTCAGATTGATGTCTCATGCTCCACTAACAAAAACCTACAATTATATTAACAGGTAGTTTGTGAAAGAAGCAAAAATAAATCTGCTGAATTGAAAGAAAAACTCAGAGAGTACTTGAAAGGTCTGTATTCGGAGCCTTATACTATATGAGACCTGTATTTTGGCTCTTTGCTGTCTTCTCTTCTGTTTGCTTTCTGGAGCATTCCTGTTGGTACTGTCCAGTGCTGTAAAAACCAGAGACTCTCAAACTGGCAAGGAATAGAGAACTATTTGTCTTTTCAATTGCATGGTCAGAACTCCTAGTGATTGGATCACAAGGTTGTTCTCACAGCCCTGTAGCAAGGGCATGGCCCTTACTTCATCCCGTGAACCTGAAGCAGAAAGTTTAATCTAAAGATCTTTACAGAGGTTTATTTGTCATGCTGGGCAGTCGTGTAAGTTCTTTGACATAGAACTTTTCACTGTTTTGTCGCATGTGGGTTTAGGCACTTGGAAAAGGTTTTGGCTTTTGCTGGAGATCCTTAGGGAGGGGATACATGTATTCATGCAGGTATTTTTGTATCTGAGAAAGAAGGGAGCCTGTCCTAAAATACCATCTGTAAGCAAGCAATAATATTGGAACAGTGAGTTTGAATTAGAAATACTTTACTAGTGAAATAAAGTCAGATGGTGAAGATTATGGGTGTGTTGGTATTCTAGGAAGAGCAGCAGGCAAATGAAACATAAACCTCTTAAGAAAGCTTTGTGTTATTTATTTCAGGTCGATACTATGTACCACTCTTGAGAGCAGAAGACAATTCCTCAGCTCCTGTTATTGGTGCCCCATGGTCACCAGATCAGACAGATGATAACCCCCAAAAGACTTTATCTCAATACACTGGCAGCCCAAAAGATCCAGTGTTGTCCATAAGAGCTTTTGCTGGCCCCATGAGCCCCTCAAAGGTAAGGAGAGAAGTTCATAAGACCCCCATGCCTTTTTTTTTGCCTTTTATTTAAATAAAGAACCATTAGAAGATTCACTCACAGTACATCGTGTGACGTAGCTTGTTCCTGTTACATATTGTACCTCTCTTTCTTGAAGAGATGGATCTTCCTCCATAGAGAAGTAGCACAGAAACTTGTCAATATTTTTTATTGCTGAAAACAGAGAAATGTGTAATATAAATAAGAAGAGTGGAAGCTCAGTCAAAAGAAAGTTCTTTATCTTATTGGAAACTACTCAGAGGGTGCTCTTTGACAAACCTTTCATTGTCTTACAGATAATTGCTCTAACTTCCTGATCTGAAACAAAGCTTTTCAAAATCGCTACAAATTGCTTTAAAAAATTCTTAGCTGAATCCTCATTTCTGGAAACTGACACTGCATGTTAGAAGCAGTTTATCACCTCTGCTTTTTAAATTAATATCCATATATTTTCCTAAATGGAAAAACTCACCACCACGTAGTAGGTGTTGGGATAGTTTTGGAAAAGTGTTGATTGTAAAGTAGAGTAATGGAGTCTTTAGTTTTCAGGAGGAATACTTAGATACTAGTTAAATATCTTAAACATTTACAGGCATTTCTGTGACTCATTTGTTTAATATGAACACACGGTAAGTCTGATAGCTTTACAAATAGTGGATAAGTGCTGTTGAGGACTGTTTGTCCTCTAATGCTTGAGTTCTTCCAGGACTGAGTTTTACCAGAATGCTTAATGATTGTCTTCTATATATGCTGGTTGGTCAATTTTGTGTTCACCTGACAGAAATGTAAATATATTTTATACTGTAAACAATGCATTATTTTGTTTGCTGACAGATACATTTAATGTCTGAATGTAATTCTTAGTTATTGTTCCAGTTTTGGTCATCTAAAAGCATAAAGTTTGGGATTTTACAAAGTCCATTAGTTTATTCCCTTTAACAGTTAAAGTACAAACTTCAGAATATGCAGCAAGAATTAATATATTCTAGTAGTCTAGCAAGTCTGTGGAATTGAATATATACATATCTTTACATCCTGAAAACCAGTGACCAGGAGAGCACTTGCCATGAAATAAAACTAAAATGACATGGCAAATTTTAAGACTTAGCTAGCTGTTTCCTGCTGCACACAAACTAAAACCAAGCAGACTTAGTACCTATACAGTTTGCTTTAAGGTGGTTGTACATTATGGTCCTTACTCTTTTCTTAAGCAGTAATGAGACCAAAGTAACCAGTAATACTGGGGGGGAGTAGCTTAAGATGCAGTCTGAGATTCTTCACAGCTAGAGTTTAGCACTACTTGTGGCAGAACTTGAGTTGTTCACCAAACAAACACCAAACAAAACAAAACACCAAAATGCCCTTTAGACCTCTAGGTGACATTCAGGCAGCCCAGAGTTAGCTTCGTGTTATGGGGGTAGGTTACTTTAATTATTTCTGCTCTTTTCAAGGCTGAAGAATTTCGCAGGCTTTGGAAGACTCCACCTCGAGAGAGAGCTGGCTTCTTCCACAATGTCAGGAAGTCTGATCTGGAGAGAGGGGTTGAAAGAGTTGGAAGGTATCTAAGAGTGTCAGTATAAAAAATTACCAATAGGCAGAACAATCAAGAGCAAGACTTGTGCTGAGAGTAATTATTACTTCTTGATCAGTACCTTAGCACAAAAGTTGCTGGCAGAAATATTTTATGGAATATATTGTAGTTGGATTCTTACTGTATTTTTGTTTAAACCAAATAGCTACAAATGTGAGACCAAGCTTTCTTAGCTTTGGGGAGAAAGCTGTTTAACTGTTACTGATGGTATGGATAGAACACTTTTCTCAAAGATTTACTTGCCTCATTTGTCAGATCTAAAATGATGCATAGGCTACTTCTGTAAAATTAGAAGGATTGTTAAAAAGGAGAAGGAAAAGATCCTAGTATAAATGTGCTGCTCTACAGAAGCTGTATGGTGTGGGATGTGTCCTTGCTGTTAAAATACCTTCTGCCAGCAATATATGGAACAAACACACTTGGTTCAAAGCTGATTTGGTTTATTTCTTGAAAATAACCCCTCACTTCCTCCTGCCTTCTCCCATTTCCAAAGAGCAAAAGCTATTGAATGGATCATTCCAATTATGCCTGCACCAGTGGGGATTCATCCCTATCTGGTGCCTAGTTACAGTCAGCTTGAAAATAGCAATACTGTAAGAATAGTAAATTAAATTTGAAAACCATTCTAGAAGAAAGGAGATGCTGCTGTATGAACTGAGAGGGGTGTTGGCTTTGCAGACTGTTGGGTGTTGTGGAATTGTGTTGCCTGGTTGCACGTTTGTGAACTCCTATTAATAGCTGATAAAATGTCTTCAGAAAAATTATTGTCAAACTAGTATTTATGTCTTCACAAATGATTCGTTTTATTTTATTTATTGCAGGGAGTTAGCTCATGAACTGGGGTTCCCGTGGGTTGAATACTGGGAATTTCTGGGCTGTTTTGTTGATCTGTCTTCCCAGGAGGGGCTGCGAAAATTAGAAGAGTACCTGAGTCATCAGGAAATGAGCAAAAAGGCTCAGCAAGAAACAGGGGAAAATGAAACCTGCAATAGATACAAAACTCCACATCCTTCTGGTAAGAAAAGGGCAAATGCTGCAAACAACAGGTTGTACCTGGGGAGAAGAGGGAGAGAAAAAGCTTGGTGCCCAAGGGAAGTCATACTCACCTGTTGTGGTTGCTATTATTAATCTCTTATCCAAACAGTCTGATTGTAGCAATTGAAAAAGCAGCTGACAGCACTGTGAGTGTAGGAGAGTTAGAACAGACCTCATTAGATGTTGTCTTTCGTATGAAGTATTTAATTTTAGTCCCCAAAATAAGTTCATTGTCTATCTGCAGTAATGTATTTACTCAGAGCATCTGGGAATTTGTCTTAAGAGTGTAGAATTTTGTAGTCCACAGATACAGAATAGATAAATTTGTAAAATAAAGAATAATTCTTTACAGTTGAGGGTGAAAGACACACTGAACAAAACCCAGGAAAGCTTTTATACCTTCCTTAGACCAACTTGATGTGTATTTATGGAAGGCACACACTAGTCCCAAATCTTTGTGCTCCTTCCTCCCTTCTCTCCTGTGCAATTGTAGATCTGAAGGGGCTGTGGTTCTGGGATAACCCTGGGCTGACCTTGGAGGGTAGTCATTGGACTAGTCGTAAGCCTTTGTACTTTGAAAGAGATGAAAACTGAAAGTGTTCTGTATTAGTAATGTTTTTCTACCCTGTTCTGCCATGTTCTGACTTTATCCTTTGTTGCTGGTTAATGGTTGAAATGAGGAGTGTAGGAAATAACAGTTCTCAAAGGATTTGGACATAAAAGGTTATTTGCAAAAAAGATACAGCCATAATGTAATTTTGCACATGTAGCTTTAGTTAGGTTAGTTCCTGCTGTTGCATAAATAAAATTAGGGCTTTAATAAACAGAGCAAGGCATAAGGGTTGTGTATTTGTTCCTAGTTTACTTGATGTGCATTCTGTTGAAAGTCTTTTAATGTGTTGCTCTTATTAAAATTGTTTACAGGCAAGAGTAAAAAGTCCTGCAATTCGATTTCTGTTGGAGCATTTTTGGATGAGGATGATGATGACATGAGCTTAGAGGAAATTAAAAACAGACAAAATGCAGCACGGAATATCAGCCCACCAATTGTGTCCAAAGAGCCCAACATTGATGCCATTGGAGATGCTGAGTGTGATATCCTGTCAATGGAGTGCACAGTAAACAGGATAGAAGCATCAGGTCACCCCAGGCACTGTGAAAAGGCAGGTTCTTCCAGCAAAAATGGATTTTGTAACTCTGTGTCTGGTGAGAGGATCCTGAGGGACAGAAAGCATTTGCATGAGGGAGGAGTGTCGCCTGTTTGCAATTTGATGTCAGAATTTGAAAGCCTGTCTTTCCAAGAACAAGGGGTTGCAGGGGGATCAAGTAAAATCACTGAAAAAACTGACAATGAGAGGATTCTGGCTGAAGGAACAAGTCAGGTGAGAATATCCAAGGACCATCTGGATAAGACCTGCTATGCAGTTTCACCAGCAAGTTGTTCTGAGCCAAGTGTTACGGGTAAACCTGGAGAGACCAAGTTAAGGACAGAACACAAAATAACAAGAAAAAAGGAAAGACTATCCATGGAACCTGGAATTCAGACCAAGGAGGCACAACAACATCAAGATCTGTCTTCACAGAAATTTCATCTGAAGGCTTCACCCACAAATGGCAGTTCTATGAAGTTATTCCTGCTTGGGTAAGAATTATCTTTTATAACACTTATTTGTCCTTCGGTTTCTGAACGCAAAGCAAGGGGCTTTTTGTGGTATCACTGACAGCCAAGTGGAGATGGTTTGATACTGAGCAACACTTGCTGCAGTCAGCCTTGAAGTGCTTCAGTGCTTGTACAGAAGTCATGCAGTGCTCTTGCAGCTAATTACCTGAGTACTGGGTCTAAAACAGGAGAAAAGTCTTGTTGCATGTGACTCCCAGTTAATTTTGTTCTTGACTTGTTCATCTGATAGGCTTGAGCCTGTCATGCTGAGCCTCATCTTCATGCTGAGCCTCACTTAGATGAACTGGTTACTACACTCTTGGCATCCCCTTTGTTTAAACTTTCAGAACTTTTATTTTATGAGACTACTGTGTAATAATGCAGTCATTTATGTGTGAGCCTGCTGGAAAAAGTTCACTGAGAAGCTGTGTTTACAGAGGAAAGGGGCGATTTGTTAGACATCAAAAATAAATGTGTTGCGATGGGGATGTTTTATTGCCTGAACAAACACATAGTTCTCCCTTCATCTAGTTCTGTTTCTATTCCAGGGAGCAGCCCTCAAAGCTGGACAGTGATGTATTAGCAGCTATAGAGGCAGCAGAGATTGATCCACAGAAACACCCCCTCATTTCCAGATGGAAACATGCAGTGCAGTCCTACTCTTCAGCTGACAGGCAAAGGTACTTCCACAAATTCAATCAAACGAGGTGAAATAAAACTTCCAGTGGGTCAGCTGCACAACAGCCTGAATAGCTAGAATTTCAGGCCTCACAAAAGCCTTGTTTTAAATGTGCAGCTGTATTAAGTGTGTGTTTCTGAAAATAATAACCCAGCCTTTTTGGCTGCTGTCTGTTAATAAGGAAGGCTAACTGGTGCTGCAGTCAAATTCCTTGTGTTACACTGGATGCCAAATAACTTCAGCATATCTATATGGACAGATCAGAAAGAAAATGAAGATCTCGCGAGTGAAAGTGTTTTCCAGTTGGCAAATGGCTCAGTTTGCTGATTCACTGCCTAGTACTTGGATGCTTCATTGGTCTTAGTGGTAGCTGTGATGCCTGTTGGTATTTCACCCTGGTGTGGATGCAGTGCAGTGATGTCGTGTTGCTTTGAGGTCTAGCAGAGTGACCTTAAAGTGAATTTAACATTTTTGTGGTTAATTTTTTGAAAGAAATAGGCTAATTGTCAGGCTTTTTTCATTCTTACTCCACTGTCTTAAAGGTCAGTGTTCTGAAGTGCTGTAATTCAGCACAAGGTTTTTAGGTGTAATTACTCTTCTATCACACAAGCAAAAACGATTACTGTAATTATTTGACAGGCCAAGGCTTGCTCTGTCAGCCTCCTTCATTTTGCAGTGCTGCCTCTGCCGAGAGAAAGGATAAACCAGCTGACTTGGTGTTTAGGTATGTAGGATTTTGACTGCAAAAATCACACCTAATGATACAGATACTAAAGGTTTTAGACAAGCTGTGTGCATGCACGTCTTCCATAGTTATGGGTGGTGGTGATTTTTTTAATTTAGTTTTAAAAACCTTGTGAAATATCACATCTTTTCTGTTGTGACTCATCTTACGAAATTGTCTCACATGTAAAAGAAAGAGCAGGAACGATTCACAGAGGCTAGAATCAACCTTTGGCCATTCTGCCTTGCTTAAGATAAAAAGGAAAGGTTTTTACAGAACAGGGTTTTTAATTTAACAAAGGAAATATTTTGCTCTGCTTTCAAAGAAATTTTAGATCTTAGTTCTTATTGATTTAAGTACAAAATCTTGACGGTTTACTATGTAGAAAAATGATGTTATTCTGTGGCATCCTGAACACAACGATTGGTTTTCCAAAGGAGGGAAATCCAGCTCAGCCACAGCAGCAGCTGCAGCACTAACCAGGCTAGGTCAGCTTTGATCTGGTGCCCTTTTTCACAGGGGATATTGGACTTGTGTTATCCAGGTCCTTCAGGAGCACCTGCTTCTTTTCCTAGTGGCCATTTTGGAGCAAATGCCATGTTACTGGTGAGGCATCGTGCCTCCACACATACACTGGGCTCTTGATGTTTCTTCTAAGACCTCTCCCCTGTTAGGGTTCTCTGCCAGTGCACTGCTCTAAGCTCTCCAGGTGTTACTAAGCAGACGGCAGCTTTCTTAACAAAATTACTTTTTGTTTCTTTCAGTTGGCCAAGTCCAGCACTGAAGGCAAGATTCAAGTCCCAAACCACTGCCACTGGCCTTCCAAATGCTTCAGCCTATTCTCATTCAGAAAGAAATAGTCCTGTACCAGGAAGTCCAGGAAAATACAGCAATGCTGCCTCCTTCTCTGCAGACCCTGGGAGTCCTGGGCGCTACAGCCCAGCTTATGTCAACCACGCCCTGTTAAAGCTGCGTTACTTTTCAGAGTCTCCTGCCCAATAAGATATGATTAATCTTCCCGGGTCTTCAATTATATTGGTTGGAGTGGAGGAATAACCAACAATGTTACTGAAGTGACATGAGGTTTGTACTTGGCTATTTATTTTTCCTCAATGGAGGACAACTGTATGTTAAAAAAAAGAATATATGTCTTAATGCCATATATGAGATAGATGACTGGTGATGTGCAAGAAGTTAGTGGCAGTCAGTGCAGTTGTCTAGTAGCTTGAATTTAACCCTTGTTGCCAGTAAAGCAGTGAGCTGAACCTTTACTTAGAAACTGAGGTATTTCACTGTCACCACTTGTCATCACTGCAATGAAGCTGTTAGCCCTCAACTGCAGTTCTTTTGCTGGGGTAGTCTAGAGGAAGCACATCCTCAGTAAGCAGGAATCTTAGAGGAAACAGAATGCACAGACACACACACACATTTGTACCTGTGTGGATGTATGCACTGTTACACGGAAATCCTTCAGTCTTTGCTTCTTCTGAGGCTGTTAAAAACCCTGTGACATACTGAGTGTTTTAGTAAAGGGGCACTATAGAAGTTACTGGTATTCTTGTAAATGTTAGTTTGAAGATTTAAAAAAGAAATAATTGAAAATTAGCTGTTTATTCCCCACAGAAGCTTTTAACCTGAGCAGACTTTAATAGTTATGACACAAAAGCACATCAGCAATAATTTCAGTAAATTTACCAGCAAAATACCTTAATGGTTTAGTTTGTAATAGAGTGGTAGCCAGTGACCTGTGATGTGGCTCCTTATTTCCCAACTGTAGAGACAGGATTAAGGACTAAAAATATTTTTATTGAAATCTAAGCTTTTACTATGTCTTTAGTTTTGCTGTAGTAATGAGTTTCTGTTACAGCAATCAGTAACTTCACTTTATCCTCTGCAAGAATGATTTGTTTCGACAGGAGGCTGCCAAGGCTGAGGAATGCTTTTCAAAACCCAAGACAGGTTTCCATATTGAGCTTAATAATGGCTGTCATGGTGCTTGCAGGAAGGGTTCCAGAAACAGAGCCCTGGTGTGAACAGCTCTCTAGGTAAAAAAAAAAAAAAAAAAGCCTGCCTATCATTGCAGTGTGAATCTGATCAGAAAAGTAAAAATCTGGGTAAGGTTGGTGGAAAGGGATGGGTCTGGTTCACTGGTTCCACACGGCAAGGGGGAGCCCATGGATCCACCACCTTGGGCACCTACCAGCCAAGCACAGGGCTGGAGACCCCCCCGTGGGCAGGATCAGGCCCTGTGGGCACAGCGGGTCCATCTCCCAGGGCTGGAGCCCACAGCCAGGCAGGATGGGGGCGGCCCCGCGCTGCAGTGACTGCACCAGCCAGCAGGAGGCTCCTGTGGGACAGACCTTCCCCCCCCCCCAAACCAAGCACTTAATGCTTTTGCAAGCTTGATAGTGCCTTTTGTAATATATTTTTTTAGTTAGACTAATTTAGAAGTTATACAACAAAAAAAGTGGCATCCACTTAGTATGGACACACAGAGCTTTTTTTTCTGGGCTTTGTGAAGGTGTTTGATGTCTCTCCACATGTGAGGATCTAATGCAGTAGCTCTGTTCCCTGCTGGGGGGAACTTTCCTATTTTAAAAATTATTTTTTAAAAAAACAGCCATGTTTTTCCCTTAATTTAGGCTGTGAATTTTATTTAACAGACATTTATAAAAGAAAAAACACCAACAAAAAGCCCACACCCATCACCTGCTGCTTTACCAGGAATATGAACTGACTTTCTCATAAGATCTTATTTCCTTTTTCAGTCTGGTTTTTGGATGCCACGTTCTCTGCTGTTGCAGCCTTTTTTTAGAGCCCAAATTCCTACAGTTTTACTTAGGAGTTTGGGGTTTTTATCGTTGTTTGATTTTAGATTTTGTTGTTTTGTGTTTTTTAAAATAATTTAATATAAATTATGCCTTTGTCATTCTGGAGAAATTACTCAGGTGATGAGTAATTGCCCAATACCATGTTGAAGCCAAACTCACGTGAGTCGCTGCCTGTGCAGCTGCTGTTCTCCATCCTCATCCCTCTTGAGCTGTCACCCAGTGATATTTCTCTTTTGATAGGTTTGTTACAGAGCCAGGAGACTTAACACTTTTGTCCTTTTTACCTTTATTATGCTTTGCTTTCTTTTTTAAAATATGTAAATGTATACTACTGGTATGTACATGTAGACAGACACCAACACAGCCTTGCCTTTCACTTCGTAATTCTGTTTTGCTTCCATCAAGAGTGTTTGTTTCACCTGTGCTATGCACTGTGCATTAGCCAGTTGTGCTGCAACTCAGTTCCTTTTTCTAACAATATATTTACTTCAGCTATTTAAAAAAAACAAGTAGCAATCTTATGTAGCAATTTGATGATTCAAAATTGTCAAGAAAGCTCTTCTGCACTGAGCCTGTGGAGACACTGTAACTAAGATGGCTGTTGCTTGAACTGTGTGTCCTTGGTCAAAAGTTCACTTTTCAAGGTGCAAAAGATTAGTTGTGGGTTTTAGTTTTGTTTTTTTTTGTTGTGTTGGTTTTTTTTTTAAGTAGCCAACTGTCATGTTAATACACAGTTCCCTCACTTTCTATTAAAAAATAAATGAGTAGCTGGATGTGTCAGACTGTGTTTAGTTCGCTGGGCCTGGTTGGCAGGTCCTGCAGCTCTGCCTGGGGTGCTGGGGCAGGCACTGCTGCAGCCCTTCCACTGAAGAGACAGGAACAACAGACAGACCAGTTATTTTATTCAAAACTTTAAAAAAGTTAATAGACAAAACCCAGTAAGTTGTTATTCTCATTGCATCAATGAGAGATACATTGTGCTGGTTTCCTCTTGCCCCCACAACTTATACTACACAATGATCATGTTTTCTTCCCCCTCCTAACCCCCATTTCCTTTGAAATCATCCTGACCCAACAGTCCTGTATCAAACAAGCCCTTTGTCTCACTGTGATGTGTGCTGTGCCAGCATCATGTTTCATACAGCTCTGGCAGGAGGAATTTGGGGTCTCACCAATGTTCTTGGCAATAAGAGAACCTGTCAAAGAGGTCACTGGTGTTTGCTGTCCTATAGATGTGCTGTGTTACCAAGGCAGACTCTGCAGATGGTGACATTTCTTACCATTCCAGGTTTAACAAGAGCTAAGTTACTACACGAGTCCAGGTGTCCAGCACACATCCTTCAAATGAAACACTTCTAAGACCTTACCTCAATGTTCAACCTGGTTCTCTGCCACCCATTTTTTTTCACCACAGCAAGTCCAGCAGTGTCAGAGCTGTACAGAGGAGCCACTTACTTCAAACATTTTGGTCTGCCATCAGTACTGCACCCTTGGCCCAGAAAAGCCATCCCACAGGTCACCTGTTCACCCTTCAGGCAACAGCAGTTTCAAGCAGCAGTTTGCTCTGACACTGCAGAACCTCTGACCTGAAGTACCCTGACCTTGAGCTGGGCCGTGTCAGTTCTCTAATCTGAAAAGTAAGATACCATCCTGCACAAATCAATGGGAGAGCAGAAACAAGAGTCTGCTCCTCAGAAGTTTAAGAGTCAGTAACTGGATGCACTCACCAAACTGCTGCTTTCCTGTCCGTCTTACTGCTGCAAACTCATCCCTGCATCTTTCTACAGCCCAAGCTTCAGTTAAAGGCTTTACGAGACTGAAAAACGCTTTTCAGAATAGCTTAAAAGGATTTCCTGAGGATGAAAGAATATTTAACAGAAGCAGCAGTTAATTCTAGCACCACAGCTCAGAGGCAAGTGGGTTTTCACCCTCTTTGCTTTATGCTTATAAACCCTAGGCACAGTTTACATGAGCTTTTTGGGGGCAGAGGGGAACAAAAGCACAACATAAATAAATCCTCAACAGCTTAAAAAAAAACAACACCTGAACACTTATTCCTTGGACCTTTGAACAGCAGAACACCCTCTTTGTCACTTCTTCTGCAAGAGCTGAAACAAGTTGCCTCATCTTCGGTTTCAGCAGCAGTGTGATACAAGGCTGTTCCTTCCAGTTCCCACACCCAGAGCTTTCCTGCACAAGAAAAATCTCCACAGAAGCAAGCTTTGGTTTAGAAATTCACGGAGGCAAGGCAGGAGGGAAATTCAGTGCTCTTGCAGCTGCTGAGCACACAGACATTCAATCTCTTTGTACTCCACAGCTCAGCTTGGAGTTTTGGGGAATACTTGAGGACGGGACAGCTTCAGGCTTACAAAGAGTTCTTTCCTGGACTGAAAGGCAGACATGAGCATGTATGAAGGAGGCAAGGGGCTAAAGGACATTTTTAAGACAGCATCACACCCCAACATAACAAAGAAAAACTTAGTGGTACTGTAGCCAAATGTGTGAAGACTCCAGAGGCAGCTCCTGCCCAGCCAACAGTTCTGCTCATTCAGGTGCGCGTGATTTTCTCGGGAGGCATGAACCCCGTGTCCCCCAGCGTCCGAAGGGCCACTCGTCCGTTGGGCCGGATCACCAGGTGGGTGATGCTGCCATTGTTGAGAGACATTCGCAGCCAGCCTTCTGGGGGGAACTGCAGAGCTCTGGGAGGGGAGAGAAAGGAGAAGAAACAAAGGGTATGCGTTCATTAAAGAATGCTCACATCACCTCCTGGTCTAAGGAAAAAAAACATACTGGTTAGTCGCTGTGCAGCTCACATGTAGCTGCTCCCACACTCAGCCTTGGGAAAAAATACTTTTCCTGTGTAATTGATGGGGAAAACACAGCCCTGGTAATTGGCTCTAAGCCAACAATGCAGTTGCATAAGCAGCATCCAGCAGATGGGCATGATTGATTATTGCAGGCTGGATTAATTCCAGCCACTGGAAGGTGGGAGCTCCACCACAGTCAGGCTGCTGGGAGGAGACAGCTCAGCACCCAGTGGCCTCCACAGGCCTCAGGGGCAAACAGCACAGTTCTGGGCAGCATTTTAGCCTTAGGATGAGTCAGTATGTAAAAGCAGCAGGGGCAGTGAGACAGGAATCATTCTAAGTGCCTCTATGTGCCCATGGAAGAAATTCAGCAGAACTACTTCCCATCAGCCACACTGTTCCCCAGAAGTGTCAAGAAAATACCTTGTACTAGGAACAGTACCACAGCTCATCTCCAGTTATTCTAACATTCCTAACTGAATAGCCTCAGGACTTCAACCAATTGTAGTAAACAGTGGGGAAAAAACACAAAGTTGTCCCAAACATCTTTTGTCTCAGATACTGAGGAAAAACTTGAGTTTGACTCTTAGAAAGTCTTTTAGAAAGGCTAAGAAATTAACAGCTACAGTCAGGCTAGATTCAAAGGGAAAGCCACATGGATTGTGTTCAATTGTGGTGTCAGATAGCCTGGAATGGATGGCACAGAGAGAATTTAAAAAGAAGAGGGAGGAAACAGCAAAAAGTATATGGCTATTTAAGAAAAAGCCCAGAAAGCAGCAAGATGATCTCTTTAGGCATAGGAAAGAGTTACTCCATTTACTGATCAATAATGTTAAGTATAGCAATTCTCAAGAGCTCTAAAGCAGCCCACAAAGCAGAATGGCCAGCAATCAACTACCTCAGCTAAATAAAGCTAACTGAAATTGCTGCAGGTATTGATCAGATTAAAGTTTAATCACACCTGTCCTGCTTAAGACAAATTATCTTACAGACAATGCTTTGTTGATAGGGAAGAAGAACAAAACTGGATACAGAGACAAATATCCAGAACTGTTTCCTCCTTCATGAACAACCTTGATGACAGCAGAAAGATCCACTCTCCTCTCTAACCCAATACTAGATGTTACTGCAAGAACACATTAATACAACTTCAACATAACACAAAACCTTCCATTAGTAAAGGATTCCCAAAACTAAACCAATCCTTAATTATGTAAGATCAAAGTCCCTTCACCTCAAAAAGACGCATCCAGTCAGGCACTCTTTGTTGCCTTTTCCAACAGCCCCCACAGGCATTGCCCTCAGGTTTATGGGCAGCAGAGGCACATGGCATCAAACAGACTGTTCAGGTGTACAAAAATGTTTCAAGTCTCACCAATTTAACCATTTTCACTTTAGAATTAGAATGGAAGTGTTACCATTTTCCAATTTATCCTCTATCTGCAAATTAATCCTGTGATGAAGCTGCAGAAGCAGCTGCTCCCAGTACAGGCACTGCTTCCCAACCACTTCAAACAAGCCAAACCAACACCTCTAGCGCGGTGGTGCCACACACCAACAACACAGGAGAACTGTGACCTGTTGCAGAGCAGGGCTGGCCGGGCAGCCCCACACTCACCTGCACACGATGTAGCGGATGACGTTGGCGTGGCAGACGAAGATCTCATAGCTGTCCTCCTCCTGCTTGGCATCAGCTCTGTGGATGAAGTTTCGAAAAGCAGCCTCGATCCGAGCTCCATCTTCATAGTACTGCTGAGGGCACAGAGGTCAGTGTGACACAGGGCTCAAAGCAGCACCTCCTCAGCAGGAGTTCCTTCCAGGGATGCACACCTGAGGCTGAACTAATACTTAAGGGCTGTAAGTGATTTTAACTGCTCTGTGCACTTACTAGGCAGGAGGAAAGCAAGCAGTTATCTAAGGTCAATGATGAAAAGCCTCAGCTCAGACATTGCAATTTACCACTACAGCCAATACAATGTATATTAAAAACCCAGAAGAAATACAGAAAAAAAAACCCCAAATTTAAGAAAAAAGTTACCACAGCTTCTGGTTTCCAGTGAGAGACTGGAGGGTCTGGTTCTATAGGTGCTCCCTCTCTCAGCAGATCAGTACTGATTTTTTTGACTCCTGAAATATTAAATACACATGCAGAAAGAACTCGTTACTTCACGTGCCACCACACACAGGCCCACAACTCTACAATCAACACATTTTCATAAGCTTTCTTCCAAGGAAGTCCTCCTCTCCATCCCAAAGACTGTTTCAGTCCTCACCCTTCCTATCAGGGTGTGTGGATCTCTCCAACACAACTGTTCTGTCATCAGCAAGATGCAGTTTATTCCAACTGAGAACAGCCAGACCTGCCTGGCACAGCAAGCTGATACCTCTCAGTCTGATGCACTTTGAAGTAACGCATTGTAAAGGATGTCTGTCAGTTAATGCTTACTGCTAGTTAATGCTAATTAACGTTAATGTTACTCTTGATATTTAATATTTATTAAATATCTCTGAGGAAGGACAAGTGGTTTAGACCAGGTTTTTTGTTTTGGGCTTGTGTGTGTTTGTGTTCTGGGTTTTTTTTAAGCAGTAAATTTAAGAAAGCAAACACAGGTTAAGAGAACTCACTTTCAGTTAGTAACACCTGAATACCTGCTAAAATATCAGACAGAATTATCTACAGTCAAGTATCTTTGGTTTAGATTCTGGTATGCCTGAACGGCAGGGAAAAAACCCCACAAACAAACTAAAGCTAAACAAAAAATTCAAAACAAAATCCAAAAAACAAACCCCAACAAACCCTCTATAAAGAAAGCAGCCACCCACCCACATTAATTAACCCTTACACCTTTGTGCCTGTGCCACATCTTGCCCTGCACACGGGGCAGCAGAGCACACAAGAAGGGCCTGTTAACTAACCCAGGAAGCACCACTACAAGAACTGGAGTTCAGGATCCTCTTCTCTCCTAAACTACTGCCCCCTGAGGCTGAGCCCTGAGCCCATCCTGATGACCTGTGAGTCTTTGCTTTATGAAACACACAAGTGAGGAGGAATCAGCAGAGATCTCCACAGCAGCTACTCACTCAGAGGGGCAGATCCCTCCTGTATTTTTAAAGATGAACTGGAAACAAGGAGAATTAGGATAGTTATGTTTCTTTATAAATACAGACAAGTTCACACAGGGCTAGAAGTTTCTCAACCTAAACTCAAAGGCAAGCTTAGAATTATACTGGAAGCAGCTTTCATTATCAGAAGACAGCGAAAAATTAAGGAAAGTCACTTATCTGGGAGATGTTTGCTTATTATTTCAGTTGTTTCAGTTGCTCTAGTCATGGAGGAGTAGATAATCTGATCAAACTTCAATCCCAAACTTGCCAGCCTGTGTCCAGTCAGTTCAGCCTGCTCTCGACCTTAAAAATGACATTCATTATATAAATCGGTGATACTCACACAAGTGTTTCACATGAACTTGAACTGGACACATGAAAACACTTGTCCAGTAGACATAAAAGGTCTCCATCAATGTCAGGTGTTTTTTTTCCTCTTAAAAAGTAACTGGAAAACATTTTTACCAGAGTCATTACTTATTCAGATCAAGCTTTGAGTTTTATTTCCATTTGCAGGAAAAGTTAATGGGTTTGTTCTTTTTTTTTTTCAACTAAAAAACCCCCATATATATTTATTTAAACTTTTGAGAGCCTTTCACTAAATTATTCAACATCCCTGTTAGCCACATCCCAAGGGAGCCACTTCCAATAAAAGATACTGCTGACCCAAGCCATCTGCCATGTCTGTTTGGTGAGCGCAGAGAGGAGACTGTGCCAAACAGATCCACTCTGACCTGACAGGGCATTTCCCATAATTTTTTCCATCATCTGGGAACAGTAAATAACCACAGCATTTGGATATCCTAGGGAAGTCTTCACTCCATCTTTCAGGTAGGAAATTGAAAAGGCAACAGACAGTTTATGTTATTTACCTGAGGCACAGGGTGAGACAGGATTAAGATTATGCTCTGTTGCCACTTTAAGGTAGCACCTTAGTCCTGATATTAGCATTTCCCTCCCGTTTGCACACTGATGATTAAGACTTGGGGGGGAAAAACGTGTTTATACTAAACATTTGGCAGCAGATTTCCAAAACCTCAAGCAGCACTGCACACTAATAATTTTTTACTCCTCAAACCAGTGCTGGCATACATACAGTCAACAAAGTGTTCAGTGCCTGTAAAGTACACTGTTATAAAATAATACTAATTAACATTTGAGACTAGTCACAGGATTAGTGAATTTAAGATTAACACAGAGTCCTCATTTCATGGAACTGATGAGCAGTATTCCCAGAAAGAATGCTTAGTAGCAAAAGTGAAATATATTTAATTATGCACTCCAACTGAAAAGTCAGGGATTAGTTTCTATTTTTTTTTATCAACAAATAAAGTAACAGAAACAGAAACCACCTTTTAACAGAAATCTATCTCAAAGATAGTCATGGAGCTAAGTTTAAAAGCTTGAGCCCTGGAGTATGTCAGCTGGCATGAACATTTACTTAAGCAACCTTAAGATAATTGGAAATAGTCTTTGTGAAGTTTCTTTACAACTGTGTTTAACACTCTGTAAGGCATGTTTCAATATTGCATTTAGAGGATCAGAAATAGACATGACATCTTTCTGCTAAAAAAGATCCAGGAAGTGGATTAAGGTTTGGCACTGAGACCCAGAAGAGAGCTGAGTGACATGAAGACAGCAGCAGATCAACAACAACCTTCTCAAAATGCAAGCTGTGATGCTTCTAGAAGTACATACCCAGGGGAGTCAGAGTTCTGTCCTTATCAGACAGGCCATGCAAATTGTACTGGGAATGACGGATAAGGAATATGTGTCTGGTGGCCTTTGCTTTGCAGTGATTTAAGCGTGAGGCAAGTTCTTCTTCCCCAGTTTCTTCGTTTTTCTTTTTGAGGTTGATAAGAGCCAGTGGTTCACGTCTACACAAACACATCAAAACCACCATTTTTAGAGAGGGGAGACTAAAAGGCAGAAGAATTTTACAAATGGGCAGTCTCACCTTATTTCTAGATAGAGCTGAAATACTAAAATTGACTGTTTAGCTATTAATGTCACAATACTGATTCAAACCATTGTGTGAGAGCTATAAATAAAAGCCTGCATTAAAAAACCAAAGTCAAGGCCATAGGCTAAGAGGTGTAACTGACACACACATTTGCTGTTCAGCGACCGCGACCTCTCCTCACACAGCTGGCCTGGTTTCTCAGGATACCAGGCACAGGGGACTGTCCCCTCCCTCCCCCAGTGTCACAGACTGCCTGGACACCAACACTGCATTATCAGTATCAATCCTGTCCAAATCTTCCAGATTAGTCTCCTGGTGGCTGCTCTGGACTGATCCCAGCCTCATTAATACAAATCCTTTCGCTATCTCTCTCCACCTCAGAGGGTAAATCCTTTCCCTTGATCTCCTATCTAAAGAACAGTTAATTTATTTAATTCAGACCAGATCTCACTTCTTCCATTATTGTAATTAAACTTTATTAATAGATTTTTATTCAAGATTATAATTTCTGCTCTGTTTGAGACAAAGTAATTTGGTCATAGAAAATTGCTGTTATTTTTTCCCCCTTCCTCCACCTGTTTTCCCAGTTAACAGAAGTTTAACTGGAACAGCCTTCAGACAAAGTACTTTACATTCATGACAGTGTATCTAGTCTTATGCAAGAACTGAGCTCTGCAATTACTGTGCAAGTGGCACAGACCATTGCACCATCCTAGGTTTAGCATCATACCTGACCAATAAGAAGTCAGAAAACAAGATCTTTGCATTCTTCTGTTCCAAACTTGAAAAGCCACCAGTTTTTAAGAATACTGTCATACCTGGTTATCCGCTCATAAAGTGACTTTGTAAATCCTTCCCTGCCTGCCCCAAACAGAAGTGGCCAGATGCTTTGTGTATTTATAAGACTTATAAACATCCAAAAATAAAAATTAATACTTCAACCAGGCATAGCCAAAGCCAGACCACACCATCTGGCAGACACCAAGCAGCAAAAAAACAAAAACTGACCAATGAAAATGTGTTTACATAATATACCATTTGCACACTGTGATGAACGACAATATAATACACTACCCTTAGCTGCTATTAAGTGTTATCTAGCTATAGTTATTCAGGCAATTGTGACAGATGCATCAGTGGTAGAACAATTATTACTTCCTGAATTGGGTAAAAAACAACAAGAGCCTGAAAGCACCTTAGAATCCCTAAAGAAAATCCCTGAAAAAAACCCCATTTAGCAGAACCAGGAACACCAGGATCTTCAGTTAAACAAGCAGCTTTAGTACCTCCCTCAAACAGGGTGCATATAGCCCTACTTACATAAGCATTTGATGCCCCAGCATCTAAAAAATCAAAACAGGATCCATTATACAATAAAAATCTGTCAGTGCTTAAGTTTGGATTTACTGTGATTAAACTGGAGCCTGACATAAGTCTGCCCTGGGAGATAATTCTACCATGATCTAAACGATCTAATCCCAACACAAATATTTGTACATTCTAATTAAAGAATCAGGAAAGAAACGTAGTTAACTCTTGGGTGAGTATGTTTCAACACCGTGAAGACCACACTAAGCTCGGCTGAAAGCAAGATCAGCTTTCCCAGGATTTAAGAGCACCACCTCGCAGCCCATGGCCCAGCCCAGCACGCACAGACCTTCTGCATCCACAAGAGCGTGGTTGTTAAGACAAAAAAAACTTGACGTAGCCATAAACCAACACTGATACAGGTCAAGCACTGCGTTAAAAACCCTGACGCGTCTTCTACCTACGGCGTGTGACCCCATCCCACGGGATGGAAGCGCGACCAGAAACACGGGATGTGTTCGGGGAAAGGCTCGGAACCACCGCAGACCCCGGGAAGGAGCCTCTCCCGGCGCCCACGTGCCCCGGGATGTCAGGAATTGTCAACGACATTCAAGAGTTTCAACTATATTCTGCTTTGAGCCGTTTACCACCTAGAACGTCACCAGGACACGAGCCCTGCGGGCTCCCGGCTCCGTCCCCGGGGTCTGTCCCCGGGGCTCGGTGTGTGTCCCCCCGGGGCTCGGTGTGTGTCCCCCCGGGGCTCGGTGTGTGTCCCCGGGCTCGGTCCCCACGGCCCGGTCCGGGCATCCCCCGGGCTCC